TAGGAAACTGCCTACGAGCACGCTGAGATCTGGGAGAGTCTGCGGGGCCCAGGACTCCATTGTCCCCCGTTCTCAGGAAGAAGAGAGGGAGGCCATGCCTGGGAAAGCGTCACCCCCAGTGTGACAACCTGCTGATGGGGGCGGGAGCACATCTGGGCTCCTTTGAAGCCACTAGGCCCCAGGTCCTATGCTCCCACCCAGTGCCTCCGGTGATGCGTAGGGCCCAGTGGAAGACGAGGCTGGCATGGAACGTTTATGATGACGTGTCAACTTCTGCCTAAGGGACACCTCTTTTCATCCTGACAGCGACAGGTGGCACTTGCCACAATGTCAAAGGTGACGCCGGCAGTGTCAGGAAGTGCGCACAGGTCGAGAGAACCCGAGGCACTTGGCCACATGTCCCCACCTCACCGCTGGGACGCCCACATCCTCCTCCAAGCAGAGCGCGACTGGCTTGTGTTTGTCTTATGTCGCCAGGGCGTTGCCTGTTTGGGGCTCTCGGCAGCCCAGGCCCTGGACCCTACTCAAGCCCCCGTCTAAAATACACGCACGTGAGTGAGCCACTGACAAGTAAAGACCAGGGGCACAGAGGCCAAGGCCCACTGCGCCCACGTCAGCCCTGAGGCCAGGACGGTTTGGCCTGGACAGGGGTGCGAGAGAGGCACGCCCCCACTCTGAGCCATCGGCAGGGTGTGTCCCCAGACTAAGTGAGAGTTCATCAAAGGTAAAGGTGGATTGCAACTTTTGAGAAACATTCTCCTTGGGTTTCCATTTATTGCCATATTAAAGGTATTAAAACCTCTGGCTAAAAAGAAAAAAAGATAAATATAGTTGACTCATACAGATATTGAAATTAAAAAGGGGGTCCATGGGTAAAATAACGAAACAATCGAAGATTTAAACGTTTATTTCCATGTTAAAAATGACGCGTTACCCTGTGGTTAGAATATATACCTTTATGTTGGAAAATGAAGTCACTTTATTTCTGAAATATTTCCAGAAGAAAAGAAAAAGGGAAAAAAAATCCAAACGTAATGAAGAATAAGATCAAAATGTTCTGGCAGATTCCATCGACGATCCTGGCATGAGCCCCGGCCTTCCCAGGCCACGTTCCCGAGTCAGTGCACCTCAGGGTGTGGTGTCCCGAAGTTGTCCCCGTCGGTTTAGATTCTGAGCGGAGTCCTGCACATTTACAAGCTACGGATCTGCATGCTTTTACTTTAGAATGCACTTATGCCAATACG